GGTCTCAGAGGCAAACACATCGAGACAATACCAATATCTGTTCTATCTTCCACAGAGGTCAATCACTACTGCAATAAACAAAGGCTGATATTGAGTTCGTCAATCCGCTAATTTCAACATTAGAGTTTCACCCTAGTGATATGAAAAACACTAGTGGAAAACATGTTTCACGACCACTGCATAGCGCCGCGAATATCGCGTTTTTCACCGAGATTTACGCCACTTCACGTAAAATCGGTGGAACTCCATTATACATTTAACGATAGTCATATAAAAGTTGTTATTGTGAAATGTATGTTATATCGTGAAGTTACTAAGATAGGGTATAAGATTAAGTTTTTCAGATTCTATTCGAATTCTGGTGAGCCAGCTGGAGACATATTTCTTCTCATATACCGACGGCCACTGAGGAGTGTATCTTCTCCTAGGCAAGTTGGAAAATTTGGTATTTCACGCTAAAAATTGTTTCGCAATGGGTGGAACTTCGACAAGTATTGTGATGCGATATTTTACAGCAAAATACGCTGACTAATGTACTGTCTTGTTGGGAGGAGGAGTTGTATCAATTCACTGGAGTTTCACCTGTTTTACGTGAAGTGGCGTATTAGCTCATGTGAAAAACGCGATATGAAGTGGATTGAAAACACTTGGCGAATTACACCGGACAAAGCAGCCGATACTACGTGAAAAACATCACGTGTTTTACGCGTTATTCACTGCTCACATGCGTTTTTCGCGAAGTGAAATGTGTTATATGTTTTTCACTAGTGTTTTCTACTAAGCTCTCACCGGTCCGTTGGCCCAGAAGCAGAACATAGTTTCCTGTTGATTGGGAGCATCAGTTCCCATTATAAATATATAAAATCGTCTCGTGAATTGAGATATGCACCCATGACCAGTGACAGCGTTGGTGACCATACCAAAGTGACCTTTTAGTAGAAACGGTGGGGGAAGGAGTTCTGATTGCTGACTGAAATTGAAAGAGCTACGAGTAACACTATCGATAGGAATATTAGTGTTTCACGTGGAGTGGCGTAAAACTCGGTGAAAAACGCGATATTCGCGGCCTGTAGTAGTCGTAAAATATGTTTGTCAATAGTGTTTTCCATATCACTAGGGTGGTGAACTCCAGTCAAATATTGACAATAATATCAACAACAGCTTGAACACTTCCCAAGCCTTGAGCTCTGGGACGAAGAAACAGTGTTGGAGGTAGTGTAGGAAAATATGCACATGATCAACTACATGTGTTGGTGAAAATTGTGAGGAAATTTATTTGTGGTTTCTGTACACTTCTACCCGAATTCACATATGAACTCCTACAATGAGCTTTGGAAACTCCTAAGCTCAGCTGAGGAGAGCGGCGAACATATACTCCTACTCCAACACTGGTTGGAGACTTCAGCTTGGGAAGCAAACCACATTTAAATACAAATCTATTTTCATTCGATACAAATTGTTTCTTCCCGTACCCCTTACCTGTCCGTGCCACTGCTGGCCACACTGGTGCTACTACTCGCCGCCTTGGATAATGTCGTTTCCATCTCAATTCTCACCGACTTCTGCGGAGGATCTAACTCTGTATCATCATCTCCTTCTTTATGTGATGCACTATCATCGCGTTTTTCCAAATCCGGTCGAATCGACCCCGGAAGATCGGCTACGACAGACTCCTCGCTTTCGCATACATCAGCAATTTCTTTGGCCTCTTTTTCATCCACAGGCATCTCAGCTTCTAACTCAATAACATGTTCATCGTCATGTGTTGATGCTCTCAAAATCCGAGAGGCATTTTTTCGTAATTTCTTGCTAGCAGTCCATACCGCACCAATAGTATCATGTAGTTTTCTAAGTCTATCTTCAGCCCTATCTTCCAGTTGTCTCGTATAAGATCTCGCGAATGCGTTATTCGCCTTCCTCCCTCCCCCTCGCGGTGAGGTGACCTCATCCGTGTCTTCAAATTGCTCTACCAACGACAAGGGTAGCTTCGCTGCTAGAAGCGTAACGTAGATATCCTTAACATGATGCGTGAGTAATACAAGGCTCAAGTCCAACAGTAGTATTAGCACTACTGCGGCTAGCATAAGGTATGTGCTCTCTAGCGTATACAGTGGCCTGGCTGCCATAGCCAATGCTAGGAGGCCAATTGTAACCGCTTTAGAAGGCTTGACGATTCTGATAGTATCTTCTACTAGGCAATTTCTGAGGTACTTGTGAAATGGGAACGTCCGTGGGTCTGCACCGCGCTTCTTGGGGTCGATGCCACCAGCGTAGGGGAAGAGGAAAGAGTATCTCAATAGTTTATACTGGTATAGTTCAATGAGAGCCTTCTTGGCTCGGTGATGCACTTCGTTAGATCGTTCAACCGCAATACACACTTGAGTGGTATTAGCGTATTCCGCTGTGTTCCATTTAACGATGAGTCCTGATAGTCTACGTGTAAGCAGTGATACGATGAGAACATAAGTCATCATCACTAGGAAGACTACCAAATGCACCAGGTGGAAATAGTGTAACAACTCGGAGTGTTCGAGATCCAGAGCGGCCGCTAGAGGCTCTAAGACATTTGATCGTTCAGTGATGTGCAATACGACGCCGACGAAACCAAGTATAGTGAGCTCTCGAAAGAAGCCTTCTGCTAGCTTGACGAATAGCTCCGGGTTGTGTTTCTTGCTCATCATCCTCATGATAACGTTTTGGGCGGTCTCGAATAGTAGTGACAATACGGCAACGAAGGCTACTAGACTCATCACCACATTGGCTGCTGTTGAGCTCAACCCTTCCTCAGATGATGATGAAGAGTGCGAGACAGGAGTCATTTCATTCAATGAGTTACTGACCCATGAGCACACTCTTACTATAGACCATATAGTTTATGAATATGGCCGTGTGGGAGAATATGCACGTAGTCAACTACATATGTAGGTGACATTTGTGGAAATTTGAGGAGTTCCCATTGGCTTCTGTACGCTTCTACCCGAATTTGTATGTAAACTTCTATAATTAGTGAGGAAATTTCTGGATTCGGCTGAGGAATACGATCATTTATTCCAAGACTGGAATATGGTCTATTTCCTATACTATGTGTATTATTGTGAAGTTAGCGGAGTTTAATTATGTCAACTCGGAGTACGAGCCGCGAGTTATATGATTAAAAAAGTGCCCGAGTTTAAACTTTACGGTCTGGGATACACCCCAAATCGGACCGTTTCGGGTGGGCGTGCGTAGGAATGGTTTCTCTTCAGACGAGAAGTATATTAAGCCCAGACGCACACTAAACGAATTCATTATACACATTGGGAAAATTAACAAAATTACTCGACAAGGTTCCGCAAAAAAAGCAATTTTTGACGGAAAAATGCCAGGCCTGGGATTCGAACCGGGAATTGATTTCTCGCGTATATTCGAGGTTTACTACATGATGCAAATGTCGATATAACTAACCATGCACAGCATAGCAATAGGTCATCATCAAAATATTCCAATCAGCGTGGGAATATATGCACATGGTCAACTACATGTGTTGGTGAAAATATGAAAACTATGAGTAAACTCGGGGAAGTAATCCTTGGTTTTCGTACACTTCTACCCAAAATTGTGTGTGGATTTTCATAATGTAGTGAGGAAACTTACGAGCTCAGTTTAGGAAAGCAAAAAACATATATTTCCACACTGATTCTAATACTGTTCTTCATCTTACGTGTTCACTCCATCAACGGCGTGGTGTTGTCTCGTTAACTATCACCCCTGTGCTCT